CATAGTTGAACAAAATTAAAGCTACAGAAAAAGCATTCAGTTTAAGAGAAATCTAAACAAACAGCAAATTTGTCTAGAGTTCTATGCCTTTCAAAGGAAATTCAGGTCTTGTTCTATAGAATCTCCAGTAAACAGTACAAAATATGCAGATGAAACATTGAAACACATGAACAAAAAAGACTGTCTGGTCTCTCCTATCTGTTTCTTTGATATTCTCTGAGGTAATGGCACCTTTCTGTATACAGCACTTATGCAAAAAGGTATCATGATACCAAAGCCTCAAAAAGAGCAGTTTATTGAGTTTATACTTAGCTCATGTGACATTCCACAAGGTGCTCACTTCTGAACTGACTATAATGATTAACCGGACATAGTGATTTGCTTGAGAATTTCTATTTCTAAATTGCTTCTTTGCCTACTAACCTTCAATAATGTCTCACCATGCTTCAGTATATAGGATGACACAGATACTTGCAGCTTTCAAGTCTTACCATTAACTCAGCTATCTTAAAATGACTAATCATATTTTACAGATACAAAATCTTTAAGAGAAATATGAGAGGAGTGAAGCCAAATCATATCTGTGCAAAAATTAGCCACAAGGACTAAGTTTACTCAAGGCTTCCCAGGTGAACCTAATGACTGTGGCATACAATAAAACAGAAACCAAAGAGTCACTCTCCTTTAAATGCTGAATTAACATAGCACTGATGAAAACAAAATTAGCCTGACAGGTGTTATCATGACACTTATGTTGGGACAAGTTCTCATATTTGATTATTGCTAATCATTGGCCCCAATCCTTCCCACCCTCATCTACACCTGAAACAGGCGTGGTCTCTTGGAATTGCAAATGTCTTTAAGGATTTCTCACAACTAAGAGATGAACAAATGCTGTGGCTCAAGCCAAGGTAGAGAACTAAATTCATGTATCTGCCCAGCTACAGCAACACTGGGACCCACAGCAAACCTCAGCCACAGGGGAGAGTTTGGAATCAGAACAGCTAAGGAGGCTTCAGTGACTTGTGGCTCCACAGACAGTCCTGACCTCAGCAACTTTCCAAGATCACCTGTAGGTGAATATATTCATTACCCTCTGCAGATATCTCTTTTGGAATCTTGGGCCAATTTTCTTATTCCCTTCCTCGGTGGTAAACTGGAGCAACAGGTCTATATGGATGGAAAGAGGTAATGACAAAGAGGCTGACGAATGCACCATAAACATATCCAAATATCTGTCTTCCTTAAAAGCAGGCTTGAGATCAACGCACAAGCCTTCTATCCCAGCAGCTCACTGGCCCTGGGATCCTGAATAAGGATCTGCACGAGGCAGACTCATTCCAATGTTCCCAGCTCCTAACAGACACTGCAGCAATGGCAATCGCTCAGCTGTAGCTGCAGCTCTCAAACAGAAAGTCAAGAGAAAGAGTCTGAACTTTGACTCACACACGGCTTTCAACTGCTCAAAGGGCTGGATCAGATTGGAACCATTTCAGAAAAGGTGATGCCAATGGAGAAAATAGTCACAGACCGTGGTTCTGAAACACTATTTTCCATTACACTGAATGGCACTGTTTACACTGAACATGTCCAAGATGGTGAGGAACTGTGGAGTGACAGAAAGTTCATGTGCTCCCCACTCAGTTCTTTCTGAGGGCTCCATCAGTGACTGCCAGCTCCTGTGACAAGCAAGTTAATTTCAGGGGCCAGACTCCAGTGTTAGGCTCAGTATCCAGTTTAAGGCATCTAACCAAGTGTTTGTCTGCAGGCTTTAAACTCCCATTCACCCCAACACAGATGTTCTCAGAGTGCAGACTGTTTTCACAGGCACTTCAAGGAGAAAAGTCATAGCAAGTTGTCTTCTCACCTGATCTGGAAACAGGGAAAGCAGAGGAGATTTGAAAACAATCTGTTAATTAATTACTAGGCTAACCCTAAGGAATATTAATCCCTACAGTTTTTGGATCATATGATCTCTCTCCTCTTCCCAATAGCACGTTCCTGTAGAAGATGGTTCCAAAATGTACACTTCAACAAATAAACACACAACCTCCCCAAAAACCCCAACAAACACAAACCACCAACATTCTCCAAAATCAAACCAGAAACTTTTACAACTGTTGGATTATTTCTAGGGGTTTTTTTTCTCCTTATACAGGACATACTATATTGTTCCTAGGCCTCTTAGATCATTCTAGCCTCTATTGCAATGCATGTTATACTGTCCACATCCCAGCAAGCTACATCCTCTGACCTTCTAGAAATCTGGAATAATCTAAGAGAGAAGCACATTCTGCTAAAACACTGTGCAGTTATCATACCACACAGAAACCTCCCCCACCTCATAAAAACTAGGCTCTAGACCTGGGTATTTCTTTTTAACTCTATAAAAGACATACCCAGGCATTTAGAATATACAAGTTGAACCCTTCTCTCTCTGAAATTAATGAGCTTCTGTGCTCCTGCAGTAAAGAAGAATTATTATCTTCCCTATGACAACAAGTGCTTCTGGAGTGACAGGACTTTTACGAGACATAAAAGATGTCACATTTTAGGACTTAAGAGATGCTGGAAGATGGACAACAATGTGTGGTGACAAGAAAGCAAACTGAGTTAATTGCTTTCACAGCAGTTCAATGGCCATTTACTGCACAAGGTTGGAAGACCTCAATAAGGTCTTTCAGCTTGCACGAGGCTCTAAGAATGAAGAACCGGTTCCAAAGATTTGCAAAAATATTGAAATTGACATTGACATTAAATTTAACCCAGACTTGAAGAAAGAAGGTTCAGTCTTTGGATCGTGTTTTTCCAAACGTGGAGTTCAGGACTACGATACAAGCATGCTGCAGGGCACAGACAATGCGTTTGGAATGTTAAAAAAAAAAAAAAATACAGAGCTTAGGAGTTCTGTTGACCGGCTGGGGCTTCATTTGTGGATTTTTTTTCGGGGGGTGGGGGCGTTATTTGTTTGTCTTTTTAGTGCAAACATTTGCTCAAGTCGCCTTTCACCCCAGACTTTTGAGAGAAGACTTGGGATTCACCGCCGCCCGGGGGGCACGGGAGGCCCCTCGCAGCTCCGGCTCCAGCCTCCCGCCCTTCCCGGCTCGGACCGGGGCCCGTACCGGGAGCGGGGCCGGGGCCGTCCCCGGGCTGCGCGCGCGCCCCCGCCCCGGCGCGCTCCCGCTGCCCGCGCGCGCCCACGTGACGGCAGCCGAGAAGTGGGTGAAAGGTCGCGCCGCGCCGCCCCGCCCCGGCCGCTCCAGGCCTTTCCACGCGCGCCGCGAAAGGCGCTGCCAAACAAAAGTTCCCAGGGAAAAGGACCGCGAGCGATGAGAGGAGCCGAGCGCAGCTCTCTCAGCGAGCTGGGGGGAAAAGGGGGTGCTCAGCTCGTGCAGCCGAGCGATTTCTAGTCCGGTTCTCAGCGCTGAAAAGCCTCAGTAGTTCAAGGTTACGCTTTTCTTGAACAAGGAATAGTGATTTCTTCCTGGAAGAGGCTCTTCAATCAGGGCTGAAACTCCCCAAAATTTTAAAAAGGACTCAGATCAACTTAACTTTCAAACTAAGTCTCGGCTGTGACAGAGGGCGATACCTGTGTAACCATGAGAAGTCACATTTCCTGCGCTAACAAAGACCCGCGCAACGCCACCTGTGCTATTGTAAACCGGCAGTCATTAGTTCATATCGATATGCTTACAGAAGGAAAAGAACCTGCTGGTTCGCCACTTGTTTTATGTAGCATCCAGTCCTGATGGTCAGAAAAAGCATAAAGGAGTTAGCAGATCTGGAAAATGAACACGTCAGACACTCGGGAAAACATAATGAAAGAAGAACGAAGGAATCAGATCTCCATTTTCAGTGCTAGTCCCTTACACACACGTGAAAAGGAAATGAGCAGTTTTCTGTACTGTAATTTCCTTTAGACTGCAGATTGTCCTCTAAGTGCTGACAAACTGCCAGGTTAAGAGGAAGAATGAGACGTTTGTCTTGGTCCTACTTTGCACTTTTCTCTTCCCAAAAAAGGTGCTTCCTGTTACAGTTTCATCAACACTAGTACACATCTATAACTGGATCACAGCCTAAGTAATGGTTTAAGTTCCATTTTCTATTTTAGACCAGAGAACACAGAGCAAAGACCAAAGCTGTGGGAATATGAGGCGAGAAAATGTGATGCTGCGAGAATCTCGGTCTACCTTTTTACAAGAAGTCTAATTAGCATTCTCATGCAGTAAACCTGTCACGCCTTGAACAAGGTACTACATTTCCTGTGTTTGTAGTTCCAGCAGTTTGTAGTGACTGCGGTTTTTATAGGTTTTACCGGCTGGAATCACATGGACGTATAGACTAGTCTCTCTCTCTCATACACACACAATAAATTCGCTTCCGCACTCGCAAACCCACCACCGATGCCACGCAGCGCGCACACTTCCACAGACGTGAAGCTCCTCCCGACTATGAGTCAAACCCACGAAGCTGCGGGTCACCCGTGTCACCTTTGTTTCGGCGGCGCCACAGATCCAGCGATTCTCCCGGTAAATTCTCCCGCTGTCCCTGTGTCACACCGCTCCCCCGCCCCCATCTGCGGCACTAAGGCACTGTCCCTCACACCGGGGCAAATCGCGAGCAAGATGCCAAGGACACCGCGCCTTTCCCGGACTCGCCAGCACCGCGCCCACCACCCTCCCCTGCGTTTCCACCCTTTTCTCCAGCAAGAACGAGCCCGCTTAGGAAGAGGCACCCGGCGCACTCGCACATGCACCACGGAACTTCGCGCTCGACCTAATGGAAACAATAATTAGGCTAAAACCGGACCGAGCGAGCCCGTCCGCCTGTCCCCGATGCTGCCCTTCCTCAGCCCCAAGGAAGGCGCACGGCGGCGCCGCGGGAGCGTCCCGGCCGAAGGGGGAGGGGAATTCATCCCGCGGTGAATCAGCCGGACACGGCGGGCACACGGCCGCCGCCGCCCCCCGCCCGGCCCCGGAGGCCGGCCCCGTGCCGCTCACCTGCGGAGACCGGCGGCGACGGGCGGCGAGCGGGCCGAGTGCCGCGGCGGCCGCTCGGGAACAGCGGTGGGACGGCGGCCGCTCCCCTGCACGCCCCGCGGAGGCGGAGCGGAGACGGGCGGGGAGGTGCCGTGGGAGGGATGGGGTGGCCTGGGATGGGCGGACGGCGGGGAGTCGGGACGCTGGCCGGCAGAGCCGTGGGGAAGTGTGGCCGTGGGGGTGGCGGTGCTGGGGTTGCGACAGGAAGCGGGAAACACGGTCCTTGTGGCCTCGCAGTCGTCCGCGGGAAAGAAGCTCCGGGACTGCGAGGAGAGGATCCGGGGCCGTAAACGAGGCGGGGGGAAACGTGCTCCTTGGAGGAGCATTGCGCGTGGGACACCTGTTCGCTGGTGAAGGGACTGCCAAGGAAAGCTGAGATTTCGAGCCCTCAGCCCCTCTGTGAGCCCAAGGCAGCTGCTTTCCTGGGCTCTGGCAAGAGGGGGATCAAGTCTTAGAGCAGGTGCAGATGGGAGTGTGAAGGAGCTTCCAAGGGAAGGCGCAGGACAGCAACAGCTCTCCCTCCTGGTGCCTTTTGCTCGGGAGCCCTGCTGGAGGGTCTTTCATTTGAGTTTTCTCTTTGGAGCCTGGGTTCTCACTGGCGCAGGTGAGCGGTATCCTTACAAGGCAGCGCCAGGGCAGAGCCCCGGTGAGTGCCAGCAAGAGCTCCCTTGTGTGTGGGAGCCCCAGCACGGAGCCAAGGTAGCCCCCCGTGGGAAGGACCAGCCAGCCCACTCTGCTCCAGCCAATAGTGGGATTGGAGGGGAAAAAGTACACTCAATGCATCTCAGTACAAGTGACTACATTCTTTTAAAAATGCAAAATCTTGAAAGTAATTAAAATTCAAAGGTGCCAGTCTCAGGGCAGAATGGCAGATGGCAGTCAGTTTGAAAATGACTAGTTTTTGAATTTGTAATGAACTTGCCACTTTCAAGAACTTGGCTATCAGATGCTTTGTTTGATGTTAGCATGATAACAGCTGGAAGCCTGCTCTGTCCCAAAAGAAGGTCATGGCCTGTTTGACTACAGTGGTGTCAGTATAGTCTCTCCTTCGAACTGCTAAGAGCTGGGATTCCTACATTTTTCCCATGTGGGCACACCCACCCAGCCATGCAATCCTCCCTGCTGCAATTTCCAGGATGTGGCTCAAAGCTTAGAAATACACAAATGGGACCAAATCCAGAAGTATGGACACTACAGACTAAATCTTTCCCTTACTCTAAAGATCATGCAGTGTCAATGAAAAGAAATCCCCACTTCTGATCAGAATTTTCCCTTCTAGTGTTGTATGCCTAATGATGCAATTTTAAGGTGTTATTCTTCCAGAAGGAAACATAAAGCCTAGGAAAAAGCAAGGGGAGGAGAAGAAAAAGCAGAGGCATTTAGATCTATTAATATCAGCAGGGGGAGAAAGAAAACGAATAAATCATCAGCTACACCCGTCAACAGCACTCATATCTACATACATTTGGCTAGGATAGGAATAGTGGATAGGAATGTAAGGTGGACAGTTACAAGAAGGTGGTTGGGTGGGAAAAAGCAGGTGTGTTTCTCATTAGACACAAAGGTAACCTAAAATGTCTTGTTAGGCATTTATTTACTTATTGTATCTTGCAGGTGCCTTTTACTATCAAGATATTTGTATAAAAAGAAAAGAACAAAAAATAACAAGTCTGTCTTCGTTCATTCTACCAGTACTTGTATACATATCTTAGTCTCCAGTCCTTGTTTTCATCTACACATGAAACCAGGAGAGTATCAGTCAGCTGAGAACATATGCTGATGTTAATTATTTTGTTCTCCAAATAATTGTGTGAACTGTCATGAATTAGGAAGCTCTGTCAAGACAGAGTGCTTACTTTAACGTGATTAGGCCCCCTGCAGATAACCTTAGTGAAGACATGAAATCTATTGCCTTACGTAAAGCTGTGATGATTGCAACTTAGCTAAACCTGACTTGGCTCTGTTTAGCTGGCAAGTGTAAACATCGCAGATAATCCTGCGAGTAATTCCCTCTGGTCCTGACACTGGCATCTAGGTCAGGCTGTATTCACCCATTAACCCACAGAAGCCAGGTTGGTAGTTCTATAAGAAGAACCTAATCAGAACATTTTGTGCCTTTTACCGTGGCAGTACACACTGCTGAAATGCTCTATCTCCTCTGCTAACTGTGTTTCTTCAGCTAAGAAGGTGATAAGATACAAGGTGATTCTGACACCCATGGCTGCAACTGCAATTTTCTGCATGCCTGCAGCATGGCCTGTGTTTCTGTAGCAACCTTACACTGCTCAGCAAAGTTAACTCAATTTTTTTCCCTTTAATTGTCCTATTTTTAATTTCTGAAAAATTATTAATATCATCAGCACAGACCACATGTGTTTGGTGCTGTAAGACTTATTGTCATTAATTCTGATCCTTGTAATCCAAAGAAATCAAAGTAATCAATGACAGGTCATGATAATCTGTGTTTTGTCAGACTGAAATAATAGCAGTTTACCATGAAGGTTATGTAGTTCTTGACTTAAATATATTTGGTTATCTTACCCCAGGCCTTCAAGACTTTCTGATTTCTGTACATGCAGCATGACCTCTCTGTAGCAGCTTTTCTTACTCAGTGTACTTACCTTACATTATTTTTACTTTTGTCTATTTTTAAGGTATGGCAAAATATTGTATCCTAAACCTGGATCTGTTATGGAAGCGTGGCTATCTCCAGTGCAATTTTGTGTTTCTCTGTTTTGGTTTATTTAAAAAAAACAAACTTCAGATTCTCAAGTTGCTTATGTCAAGCAGTTTAATATTGGTAACAGAATTAGTCTGCTCATTGGAACTGAATTATTCAAGATCTTCTGAGCACAAATTTATTGGCTGCAGTCTCAGTTTCTTGAGCAGGTATTTTCCCAATTTGCTTTCTAGTGAAAACACCGCTGCAGTTTCATTTTAAACAGGGCCAAGACTGGTTTGTTTTTCTTTTTTCTTTCATGTTATCTCCCATGGTATTTAAAAATGAAGGTGTCCATACTTAGAATGTAAGCACAGGTAAGTCAATGTTCCACAGTCACTGATATCCTGAGTGGCAACACAAGGTAGTATAGAAAATGAAGTGAAGAACAGCTCAAAAATGTAGCTTTGTAACTTTGCATGAAAAGGTAAGTGTATGCATGTTTGTGTGCCAGCAGCCAAGGGTGAGGGCAAAGCAGGCCGGACAGGACCCTCTCTGACAAGGGCATCTTCTCTTGGCATCTGAGCAAGGTGAGCAGGACAGGTCCTCTGAGAGCAAACTGGGCTGGCTGGATCATTAGACGAGTCTTCAGCAATGGGGCAAGTCCGAGGCTGTCAGGTGGAGAACAGCCAGGTGCGAGTCAGCTGCAGGAAGGCACTGAGAATGAGACCGGGCGCTTAAAATGCGCTCCCAGGCTAAGCAGGGAGCCCCACTGGGACCCTGCAGAGCAGATTCTCCCAACAGCTCATTTAAAAACCAGACAGCTGCATCCTTTTCTAAGGAGGCCCAGAGGTCTGGCAGACAAAAGCCCAGGAGAGGGGAAGGGAGAATATCCTCAAGGCCCTGACAATGCACACGTGAGCATGAGTGTGGACTCACTAAATGGCCACATTTGCCTTGCACGAGGTGATGTAGGAAAAGTATTAATTTATTTGTTTTCCAAATAATTGTGCAAATTGGAAGAACTCCCTGGTCAACTCCCTGGAGGGCAGAGAGGCCCTGCTGAGACCTTGACAAATTAGAGGTCAATCAATCTCCAACCATGTGAAGTCTAACAAGGGCAAGTGCCGGATTCTGCACCTGGGGCTGGGCAATCCTGGTTGTGTGTACAGATTAGGAAATGAGAGGCTGCAGAGCAGTGCTGCAGGAAAGGGACATGGGGGTCCTGTTTATGGGAAGTTGGATCTGACTCAGCAGGGCCCTGGCAGCCAGGAGGGCCAACCCTGTCCTGGGGGCATCAGGGACAGCCTGGCAAGGGAGGGGATTGTCCCACTCTGCTCTGCACTGGAGCAGCCTCATCTCCAGTGCTGGGGGCAGTTTTGGGTGCCACAATATAAAAATGACATGAAGCTATTAGAGAGTGTCCAAAGGAGGGCTATGGGGATGGTGAAGGGCCTTGAGGGGAAGCCGTGCCAGGAGCAGCTGAGGTCACTTGGTCTGTTCAGCCTGGAGAACAGGAGACTGAGGGGAGATTCTGTAATTCCAGGGAGAACTACAGAATTAAGGGAGAAGCTGTAATTCCAGTTACAGCTTCCTCCTGAGGGGAAGAGGAGGGGCAGACACTGATCTCTTCACTCTCATGGCCAGTGACAGGACTTGAGGAAACAGCATGAAGTTGAGTTGGGGGAAGTTTAGGTTAGATATTTGGGAAAGGTTTTTTACCCAGAGGGTGGCTGGGCACTGGAACAGGCTCCCCAGTGAAGTGGTCACAGCCCCAAAGTTGACAGAATTCAGGATGTGTTTGGACAATGCTTTCAGGCACTTGGTGGGATTCTTGGGGTGGCCTGCACATGGCCAGGAGTTAGACTCGATGATCCTGATGAGTCTCTTTCAACTCTATGTTTCTATAAAAGATGCTTCTATGAAAGTCTGCAAAATCCAGCATCCAGAAGGGATGAGATGTTTTGCCAGGATCAAAATATTGCAAAACTGTGTAGTGCACATTACTGGTCAGTGAAAATAATTTAGTGATTTCATATACCACAAATACTGCCCATGCCTTGCCACATCCTCCTTCTCTTACATGTTCCAGACCAATCATGTGTCCCAAGCCCTCATTGGTGTGAATCAACCATTTCATTCACTGCTGTTATACTGAGTAGCACCAAGCTCTGCCAGCACACTAATGTCTCAGACTTTGAGCTGGCTTTGTCTTTTTCCATTCTAAAATACTTTCTCATGAAGATGCAGTAACAATTCAAGAGATATTTAAGCAGATCAGAGTGTCTTGCCATGTCTTGCACTGCTTTTTTTTTAACCAGAACTAACCTCACTTGACTGAGTTGTCAACAGGGTTATCAGACTACCCTGTGACAGATCTGGCACAGAACACGTGGTGTGCATCTGTGATTGCAGCAACAGAAAGATGTTTTGGGAAAAGAAATACGCCCCTCTTCTCCTAACCAGGATCCTTTTTAGAACACTTTTAGTTTATTAATTTTCTTGAGTGAGACAAGTGTTTTGTTTTTAAGGAATGGCAAAATGATCACTCAAAACGTGTCACAACTTTAAAGTTGGATGGGAGTTTAAATCCAAATAAAACAAGTGTACAGTGCTTTGTCAAACTAAATAGGCTTTACAGTTTGTCTGCAAAGTGCAGGTGCCAGTTAACCACTAAGCAACCCATCATTGCTTTAGAAATTAAATCCTCTCTAGTAATTCTCCATGGCCACGGTTACGTCCCCAGTCTCTGGTATTACTGTGTGGAACAGCTGAGATAGTCTCACCTGTTGTAACAATACCTCCAAAGAGATGACCAGGGAACCAAGGGAACACAAGCACTAATCAATATCCATTGGGAAGTGGGCAAGTATAGGTCTAATACACTATTGACCAAAATGTCCATAAACTGAGCAGGTATCTATGTTTTAAAGGAAAGTTTAAATTTTTAATTAACTAACTGTGAGTAAACCCCATTGGGATTTCCTAAAAGTGCCTGAGCCTCTTTGTCAGAAGAGTGCAAAAGAAATTAAGTGACAGCTGTATACTCAATGTTCCAAGCAATTCACTCTCTCTCCACGTTATTTTTAATACATATTGACCAGAAAGACAAGAACGAAAGCACTGCTGTAGCACACAGAAGAGAGAGCCTTGCTGGGCAGTTCATAGGGGATCCTCCACTCAGAAAAACGGGCCAAGAGGCCATTTGGTGGGAACACCTGCATCAAGTGACAGAACTGCATCACATGCAGGTTTTTAGATCTCATGGTTTTCATTTCTCTCCTTCTGATGTTTCACTTCTTATCTGCTGCTTTGTGTATTTATGGCTCCTGCCTTTGTCCTTCACAGTCACATTAGGGGAGGAATACAGATGATCTGACACCATCCTGGATGTGAGAAGATGGATGACATCCCAGGTCTAAAGGGTATTACATGCAAGCCTCACAGCATGTGCCTAAGGTTATGCTAACAGTAGCAAAATGGAGCCTGGCCAAGCTTTGAAAAGAAAGTATGTAGTTGGAAGTTTTCTAAGGTAAGGGAATAAGTCAAAAATACAATACTAAAGGTTACTGTATTAAAGGTTACTATATTAGAAAATGCCACAGTGAATGTTGCAACCTAATGGTGGTTGTGTTTGTGACATTCCCTGAACTCTGCAAAACTTTGAGAAATAAAACTCTGTAGCCTGAAAATACACATCATTTCTAAGCAAAGACTAGAAGCGTATTTAGAGATTATTTTAAAAGTTATTTAGAGGTTTGGTTTTCAGATTGGTGGATCTGGCAGATACTTTTGGAAAGATACTATTATGTCCAATCCTAAAATATTTAAAATTATCTACTGTCAGTAGAAAAATCTATAATGCAGACTAACAGCCACTGTAAAACTGATAGCATAGTTTTCCTTAACAATTTCAAATGCCAGCCAAACTGAATGGGTTTGCATTGCAGAATTTTTTTGCTCATTGGGCCACAGATAATATATGTGCCATTTTCTGCTGCAGTCTCCTGGGTGGAAGCAGAACTGTTTGTTACCCACGTAGGTCTGCAAGGACAATAATATTAATTATTTCTGATTATTTGCTTGATTTCTGGTGTACCAATTACATGCCTTACAGTAGTTCTCAGACTGGTTTCAGAAGTAGATTGAACTGTTGTTTAGAGATGAAACTTAAAATGAAGGAAGTAAGTTCAATTCCTTGCTACTCTAATTTACAGTCAAAGAGTATCAGCTGATTTCCTCCTTTAGTTCAAGTTAAGCAGAGGATATGAGAAGGCTGCACAAAACCTCATCTGTGCAGGTGGGGAGTAAGGAGGAGAAAAGTCCTTTTGTTTCACCTGGTTTTGCCATTTTAGAAAATGAGAAATGCACAGGATAATACTACATGCTGAGTGGACTAAAGTAATAAACTGAAGTAAACGAAAAGATTATTCCTCTTTCCTTATAGTTTTTGATTAAATGAAGCCTCCAGGCCTTGCAACACTCACTAGGACTGCTGTTGGTTACGCAGTGTTGCTGTGTCACTGTAGCCCAGTGTTTCCCTTCAAACCTCAGCATTCATCTCTGCCTGCCTACCTGCCTGAAGCACATCCACTCATCTCCCATACTAAATTTCCTTCTGACTCAGATATGCCTTCTTTAATGTGGATACAGCAGTGTGAGGACATGCTCTTCCATCCTGCCTAGAGATTTTTGATTTTTTTTTTTGCTCTATATTTCAGGATAGCTCCCAGAAAATACAGGAAATTTGAATCACAGCAACTCTGTCCCCATCCAGTTTCTCTTGGCATCTATCCTCTGTGCCAGAGCCATTTCCAAACTAAGTCAGATGAAATATCCAGTATTGAACACCATGGCCACAGCAATCAAACTAAGATCCACAGTGCTACTGTTTATGAAGGCTGTTCCTCAACCACTCTTTCAGGAAAGGTAAAGGTATTCTAACTTTAGTCCTGAAAGAGGGCTCATTTTCATTATAGTGCTCATCCTAAAGTAAAAACTCTCAGTGCTGTGGTTTCTCTCAGATCACACCAGTAATTTCTATAAATAAGCTGCAATATGAACTCAATTCCTTAGACTTTGTTTCAGATGTATAATGCATAACCAACAGATCTTAAGGCCTGTAGATTTGCAGTGTATGCAAGTCTCATCTTCAGTCAAAGCTGAGTGTACACATATGATTAAAATCCACCTTTGTACCTTTTCTGTTGAATTTCCTTATCTTTTTATATTTGCAGCCATAATAAAGCATAATTTATTTGTGATGTGTTTCCTTTAGCTTTTGTAGTACTTTCAACTCAAGCAAAGCAGAGTGCTGAATGGGTAAGAAGAGGGAAAAATCCTTCAGAAATTGGGACAGGACATTAGAAAGCATTCCTGCCCTTCTATTGTGTTCTGTTGCCTTTGATGTCACTGATGACATGGTGAAACCTCTTACATCCTTACCAGGAAGAAATGTTTGGCTTCCAAACCAGGATCTTGGTTACTGCTCATGAATGTTTAACTTAAAAGCCCAAATCTTCCTTATATCTGCCATGAAATATCTGGCATCAAGCAAGATGGGTTTTGCATTTATTTCCCCTCATCAGAAACTGACACTAACACCAGCAAAGTTTTATCACCAAGGCCTCATTAGAGAGCAAAATTGTTTAAAGGCGAAGAATTCATTCATGGGTTACTTTGAGTGTTGGGTTTTTTTGCTCTGTAGTTGTCTGTTTTGCAGGTTTTATTTATTAGCCCTGCTTGAGCAATTCCCAGAGCAAACAATTTGTCATATTGGTCTTCCTTCCTCACTTAATAGGCAAAATGTATTGCCTTTATATTTTTGTAATTTAATACTTCTGGAGAACATTGATGTATCTACATGTATGAAAAATAAATCAAGTCTGGAAAAGGTGTTTTGTACGGGGTGCAGAAGTAGTGAATTTTGTGGTACACTTCACCTAAATATGTGCAGGTGAAAGATTGGCTCTGTGAGTCAACAACTAAGAAGTGCACCATAACATTTTTCAGTTTCTGGAGAAATTGAATTATTTAGTCACATTTAATGACCCTGTGTTTATCAAACCATCCCAAGGAGTAATAAAAATTGTTACAGAAAGCAAAATGTTTGACTAACCTATTTACCAAAATTAAGTTCAGGTCATAGTAAGTGGGCAGCAGAAAGTAAACCAAGTGCACGAGTCCTTTCCTGCTGTTGTGGAGTGACCCTAAGCATGCAGTGGACTTTGTTCATGTTTGTCACTGAACAGCTCTAGTCCGTGTCATTCTGCTCAGTTTTGTGGTTGTACACAAAGCACAAATTCTTCCTACAAGCATCTAAAACACGTATTGTGACCACATAAACTGCAGAGAGCAGATAAGTAAAAGCGACTGGAAGCACAGACCATCAACATGTTTCACAAACAAGTTTTTCAGGATCTAAACCGTTATGATATGCCCGACTCTGTGGGCTATTTACAAACCTGAGGGCAGGTCAGCTTCCCAGGTAATCCAGGTCTGCCAGGCTACTGTCAAAATACTGTCAGCCAGGGAGTGACTATTGCAGGTCCCCTGTCCTCCCTGCTGGAGCTTCACACTCTCTTTGTGTGTGAGAACAAGCCTAGTTTGCATTTGTGCCTGGGAAGCTAATTAATTTAGCAATCACACAGATGAACTGCTGATGACTAGAATAACACCTGCAGTTTAGGGTCAGGGGAGAACGGCTAAGATAAAAAAAGGCGTGGGTATGTGGAATTATTAAAAGCAAAGGCTGAGAAGTTTGTCATCTTCTGTATAGAAGACAATATAAAAGAAAATCAGCTGGTCAGAGGAGAGACTGCAGTTGCATCTCTCCTTCAAAGACTGTACTTTTTTAATGATTTAAAATGAAGAATAGTGGAGAAAATCAATATTGTGAAACATCACAGGATGCAAGGAAAGAGTGCTTTCTACCAAAGCTCATGAAAATAGTGGAGGGCTATTCCTCAGGATATCTTATGCAGGCCTATTATTTGTAACAAAGTGAGAATGACTCTGCCAGTGACTGATTTTATGTGGCTTCTAGGAAGAAAATATTATTTGAATAATGAATTCCATGCAGGCAGATTTTGCTTTTAGAAATAATTGCATGAAAATTACTTTGGAAAACATGCATGGGGGAAAGATACATGCTCTAAAAGAAAGGCATAATACCATGTCCCTAAATGTACTTATCTTCATGAATCCTGAGTTTAAGTTAGGATTTCAGTGATCCTCACTTTGAAAACTTGGTGAGGTACTGTACTGTGTCGCATTAGGTCTTTAGAGTGCAAGTATCAATGCATATGTTACTGAACAAGCACTTTGTGCAAAACCTTCAGTAGAAAATAGGTCATAGTGCCGTCATGTGGCTGCTGCGAAAAGAAATAATAAACAAAGGCCTTGGAAAAATGTATGCTTCAGGGTTTAGTGCAACATAACTATGAAGAAGAGGCACTCACAAAACATAGACTGCGTATTTTTCTCATTGTGAGACTTTTCTTCTTGCCTTTCCAGCAGCTGCTTTCAAGCAGGACTCAACTAGATGACCCATTGACCTTACATTGTCTGACCTTTATGTTTTCCTTTTGAGGAGATACTTCAACTCATCTGTTTGGAGAGAAGAAGGAAATGATGGATTCATTTTTTGATCTTATCATTTTTGTGACTGATCTTTTGTTATTACATCATTTTCTCAGTAGCATAGGACTACCTGCATGGCGGTCAATATTCTTCTTAAATCCCAGCATGAGATGTGTTTAAATAGTTTTGGATTACTGCACTAAAGAAATTAGCTAAACTTAGAGTTACTTCACTTTCATACTTTTTCAGAGTGTACTTCTAAAAAGCCCCTTGAAAGCGAAAGGTGTTTGCTTGTTTGTTCATTTTTTTCTTGGTAAAAAGTCCTGCACAATGCTGGCTTCTCACAGATATCTGCAATTCTCAGCCCTCTCCTGGGATTGAGTTGGATATGACTTCCAGAGATAGAAGTGTGCAGTTTTGCTGGATGTGTAGTGATAGTGTACAAACAGCGTGTATATTGATGCAAATATGATTGGGCTTTTGGAGATATCAGCTAACTTCCCTCACCCCCTTTCATCACTAGCCTTCTGTGGAGGGGATCCTGGCTATGTGCATCACTACTTTTCAGAAGCAAGATTAACAATTACAATGACAATGCTGCAACAGAGATGAGGTTGCAAAATCTCAAATTTTTTTCACAGGGTTCACACCTTCACAATCTTCCTCTGATAGCTGGTGATGACATTGATAACAGTGTTAGCCCTGTGAGCCCATGACTGACCTTTCACATTGTACCTGCAGTCCTCCAGTGAAGATGTCACCTGTCAGTGTCATGGGATTCCAGCACTGCATGAAGGGCCACTCCCTTGCCTGGAGTCTCATGTGTAGGATGCTGTCACTGGCCATACTCCTTACCAGGGATGATAAGTAATGTGTATTACAGCATGTGCAGCTGCACATGGGCTGTGCATATGTCACGGTGCCTGTAGGGTAAATATCAGAAATAAGACCTGACTTTACTCGGAAAATGTAGACATGTTCTCCATTCCTGCCCCTCCCTCACACAGATTCTTGCAGCAGTCAAGAGACAGTAGAGACCTTTGAATCATCCCTTAAAAACAAGTGGTGAGGACAAATAGAGAGAGTCTTTCTCAAACAGCTTGTCATTTCAAAAGAAGGCCACAGGCACAAAAACACTTGGCACCCTTGCCCAAAATGGACTCTTGAACTGGACAAGATACATGCTTTGAGGTTTAGCAACTTATTTATTTCTCTCTCTGTAAATACTGGTGCTAGGACACTATCACCTATGCTGGTGTTTACATTTCAGGCTGCTGACAGAAAAGGTGGACAAGTGTGGCTCAATCATATCTTGTTCAGCAAAATCTCACCAAATACCAATCAGTCATGGTGGAAGTGGTTTAACAACAGATCCAGTTGTTCACACTAATTAAAAGAAGAAGACAATGAAACTGCATGCTTGGCTGGGAAAATCACTAGAGAAAGCATCACTGCTGGTGCCACAGCTCTCAGGGGCAGTCCCAGGGTAGCACAGGTTTTCCTCATGGCCCCAGACCCTGGGCTGCAGTGGTTAATGAGGCCACTGGTGTTTTCATGTACATGGGGAGTTTATGATTTATGCCTCAGAAGGAGAAAACACAGTTTATTCAGAGGGTTAGAGGGGAAACCTCCCACTTTAGAAAGGGAGGGTACATAAAGCCAAGGTGTTGTTTTTTAGGCCAAGGAACGGAGTTTAGTGGAAATTTGCCAACATCCAGGCACTTGCCCCAATCTATCGTCATGGCAGAGGTTTTCTTACCTCATGGTGGCTCTCTGATACTTAATCTAATAAATCTGATCCCTGGTCTTTCTGTGAGCAGTGGCAACACATCCTTTTCCAGGCAGCTGGAACATGCCCCACAGGTATTGCAATGACTCTCCAGGGCTAGGAGAGGAGCCCACAATACTTATCTTACACTTAAAAATGAATTCTTAGACACCTAAAATGAAGTGAGATGGATTCCTTCTCAAATAAGTTGGTCCAGTAATGTCTGTTTATGGCCAGATACTGCCTGCCTGCCTGCTCCCACTGATGACTGCAGTGCAGTTAACTCCATTTCTTCCAATGTGAGTGAAGTGTTTTGCTGTTGGGGTTAGAGCTGCAGATTTGGTCTTTATGTGTCTTTTGTGTCTTCTGATATTTTGTCTATATAGCAACTGAAATAATGAAACATTTAATTAGAAAAGGAAGTGATTCATAACATCAGCTTTGAAGCAAAATATTTTACCATAATGAAGCAACAAAGTTGCAGTGACTCATTTTATCTTCATTTAAATGACAGGGCATCCCAAGAAATATCTGCAATTTGAGGGATTCTCCTTTGAAATCCAGCCCAGTGTACTTAATT